TTCGGGTTTCTTTTTCACATATTGGCAATGATACTGACTTGTTTCCGACTTGTTTTGTTTGAATATTGTGATAACATGGGCAGAATTTAAAAGCTGAAATATTCATTCTTATCAGAGGTAGTACCAAAGCAAAAATTCCTGCATACGCACAGTTAATGAATGAGTTTGAGCCTGCAGGTCCTCTTCCACAGCACTTGATGACAGTCTTAACTAAACTTTGCAGTGCGTGAACTCCTAGCAAAATCAGTTAGGTGTCATCTGCCAGTCCAAACAATTAGACTAAACGCAATTTGACCCCCAACTCATAACTCAATAGCTTTTTCTCATTTATTTGGTTTATATAACATGGAAAAAGAGAAAATCAAGTACAGGTTTCAGATCAATTATACATCTGGGGCCATCAGTGTGCATAAGCTACACTTCTTCCGTTTCTATTACAGAGTGCAAAGTATTAGATTACTGTACACTGTTATTGTAATTGAGCAAAACTTTATTTGAATTCAAAGTGACTGCAGTGGATTTGTATTTATTCATGCTGACAAAGGGTCTATATCAAGATTTCCTATATATATGCATACACACACACACATACTAATAATACACTAGTAGTACTATATTTGAAAGAATACGAATACTCTAATGTATTAAAGCATAACCAAAATGAAATAATAAAAATCAAGAAAATACAAATAAGGAGAAAATCAGAGGAATGATTAATGATGTGAGAGAAAGGGAAAATAAGAGGAGACTGGGTGAGCCTGAGCTTGATTCAGTGGAGGGGAATGAGACAAATCCTGGTAGATCGCTGCTTATTTGAGAGCTGATCCAAGACTGGTATTGAGACACTCTGGTATAAACACCAGGGAACTTGGGTATTCCACAGTCTCGCCCAAAACTCACAATACCAGACTGAATCCACTGGGAATTGTTCTTATTTGCCATTGGACCTCCAGAGTCTCCCTGCATAGATTAAGATAATGTCATGTTAATATCTCTGACAGTATACAAGGTAAAGCAATTTTAACCTCACAACAGGGCTAAGCTGAATCGAACACTGCATAATTTCTCACTGTACAAGTTTGACACTGCAGTCCGGAGCAGGGATTCATAACCCCAGGGCAAAAGCGTTGCTAACACCACATCTATATTACAAGTGTAAACTGCTTTAAAAAAAGGGATAAAAACGGGGTTTAGAAAGACGATAACCCAGGGATAAGCCAGTGTAAAAAGTTGTAGTTAGTGATATCGTACCTGACATGAATCTTTTCCACCCTCATCTAGTCCAGCGCACAGCATGTTGCTTGTAATGATTCCTCCGTAGGCCTTATTACAAACACTGTTGTTTACAACTGGTATCTGCACCTCCTGCAGTATGTTTGGAATCTGGGTGTCTTTAACATAAATGGCATGGTGGCCAAAAAAATGTAATAATTTTTTGGTTGTGACACTATACAAAGTTTGAATCATAGACGTGTTCGATTGAACTCACCTGCAAATTTGAGTTTGCCCCATCCAGTGATCCAACTCTTAGTACCTCCACCAAATACACTACCAGCGGCCGCCAGACAAACTGGCCTAATATAATCAGTGAACGTCACAGAAGAGGAGAGCTGCAGCAGTGCTATGTCATTGTTTTGGGTAGTTGTGCTATAGCTGGGATGGGTGATGAGCCGAGTCACTGTCCTGGAGATCTCATTCGGGTTTGAGCCCGTTTGGAGTTGACGGCCGAGGTAGATTTTTACATTAGACACAGCGGTGCTGTAAATAGAGACAAATATCAGTCTTAATTCCTCTACTATCTATCTACATAGTGTTATATTATATATCACTTCATACCTCTGGAAGCAGTGAGCTGCAGACAAAACCCAGACTTTATTGATTAGACTCCCACCACAGAAATGACTTCCAGACGTAATTCTATGAAGGCTTGCTTGCCACGGCCAAGACCCCTGAACTGCACCTTGTCCTCCAACAATCTTGGTGTTGAGAGGAGCCTTACCGCACACTGATGAGAGAAAATAAGTTTTCTGGTTGAAATCAACATAAAATTGTCTTTTTGAATAATCTTAAATTGTTATTAAATATATTACATTTATATATATATCAAATTATTAATATATCTTTATTATTGCGGAAGATTATTCATTAATTCCAGATGAATTAAATCAAAACACAAATTACGTCAATTAAACTAGGCCTACTTTTTTCATCATTTTGTTGAAAGTGTTTGTATGGGCATTACGAGCATAGAAACTTACCATCTAACTGACAAAGTGTGCCTGTAAAAAGAAAAATGGAGAAATAACAACATTTTGAGTTGTTAAATGGATTAGAGACTATAAAAATTAATGGTATTGTTCTGTGTGTTAGTTTTCTTGACAATGACTTTAGTTCAGAACTGGCTCACACAGATATGCGGGTGTAGTAGATGCGCTGACACAGAGCTGATAAACTGGTTCTTTTAGCGTTTTCATTCATGTCAATATTATTAAAGACTTGGTTTACCTGAAAATAAAAATCTTTTACTCTTAATCTCACTTCAAACAGTATGACTGTATGGAGATATTTGGAATCACGCGCTAGTCACTCTGACCAATTTTGTGAACTAATCGCTACCCTTATCATGAACTCTGAAAGAAGAGTAAAGCTGGATTTCAAGATTTTCAATAAAAAAAACGTAATAACTAAATACATTTTGATCTTCTTTTTTTTTTATCCTTTATGGTGCATTTTTGTAACTTTAGATCCAGTCCTCTTTCACTTGCATTATATTAAGAGAGCTGCCAGAATATTCTTCACAAATTCACCTTTTTGTTTTCCCACATTAAAAGAAATAAGAGTTTGCAAAGATTTGAGGGTGCATACACTGTCAGAAAAACAAATTATGTATTTATTTGTACAGTTTTGAACATTATCTATCTTTATTTAAGAACATGCCTACAGTGATTGAGCTCACTTAAGTTTTTACAACATAGAAATAATATATGTACATGAAAATTGTGTTTTTGTGATTATGGACTCATAAAAAACTCTTAGATTCTCTTATTTTATTTAAAAAAAATTAAAAGAAATTAAAAGAAAAAAGCCAACAGACAATTTCATTGTTACAGCCTTGTTATTTTCAAACGTTTTTTCATCAGAAATAATTATGCTTGTGTTTAATAATGTAATATAGGTTAGACTGAAAACCATTCATCGGTCAAGCCATGAAAAATAATTCCAATTAATTCCATTTACTTTTTATATTATACTGATATTGCACTTTACTATTCTGAATTTTGTAACATTAATTTCAGGTATTAATTTTAGGTGTTACAAAAGAAAATAATAGAAGTTAATGAACAAAAGGTGTCCCATCATATTGTGACGAATAGGCTTACATAATTTAAACCAAAATACAACTTAATGTATTTTATTGTAAGGTTAAACCAAAGTTATTAAACAAGAACTCGCCTATTATTTGTTGCAGTGTCATATCAGATCTTACCTGTTATGTTAAGAAGTATGGCTCCTGCAAAACACACAGCTTGACACAACATCATCCTCATGTTATTGTCTGTGTAGTGTTTGCTGATTCCTTTACTGAGAAATGTCTAATGACGAGTAAAGCAAGTGCTGCCGCATTCAGTAGGACCCTATATAGTTAACCTCTGACACACCTTGTTTTTCCTTCTAGCCTGCTGCCACTGTTTTTAGTACACACCCTGCTCATCTTTGATGTCTTGATGCTTCTCTAATGCTTCTAATTTGAGTATGTTGAGTATTTGAATGTCACTTTGCCACCTGCTGCCATTAAATGGCGATTTTATACACTCGTTTCAAACACAGGCCAATCGTATGTTACTACTTAACGCATCTTGGGAAAGGTAGTTGTTACACTTTTTACTCCAGTCAACATTGTTGGCTATATGTTGTGTGTATGTATGGATATTATGTTGCAATAACATGGCATCAGTACTTTGATCTCTGGAATAGGCCTCACTTTTAGGGAATCACTTTTTTTAATGTATGGAACTTATATATATATATATTGCTTTAGACTAGATCAAATAAAAACCCCTTTAAAAAAATCATGTTTCTTTGTTGAATTTGTTTGCTGCATCAGGCTTTTGTGGCTCATTGATTAGGTATGATTTGGAGAATATGGATCTCAGACTCGAAGGGAAGAAACACCTCATTTTTATTCAGAGGCCTAACCTGAGCAGCAATATGCAGTTTGTGTTTTTTGAACATTTATATGGCCAAAAGATGAAATTCTGATGTAATGTGTACCGTCTGGACCAATCAAAAACACCAGTTATTTCCCTTAACCAGGAAATTAACGTTCTTAGAATTGACAGATAGTTGACCCTGAGAGGTCAAGTAAATATCTACAGCGGATCTAAATATTTATAATTAATTATAACTAGTTATGATTAATTATTCATATTTCCTCATGAACTGATTCGCTACAAATGTAAATCACTGAGGTCTTTATATCAGTAGAGCAGACTGCTTAATGAATATAAATATCAATTATCACTCTATATCTCCCAATAATTTGTCTTACTAAAATAATATTTAGATGCTTAAATTTATGATTAAAGCTCTGTAGTTTTTATTGTGAGGGGCAAAACATAATGCAATGCAATACAATTATGATTGAGAGATGAACAATTAAACAATCCTCAGAAGCTTCATGCATAATATTTGATAATCACATTTTAACATGATTATAAGGTTTACATGGTTAATCAATACAATCAATTAAATGATTGATCTCTCGTCTACTGTTGTAAAGGACATGAAAGAGATAAATTATTTGATCATCCATTAATTATTTGTGTCACACTGAGAAATATGAAGTCATATAAAGTTTGTTTTTTTTTTTGTTTTTTTTTACTGGTTCGATTTTCAATATCTCTAAACACAATGCAGAGCACACATGCTTTAATTACTATTCAGACCCTGAGATGAAGTGTTATTGTAAATAATATAAAACTTTAATACACAAGTGGCTGCAGTATTTTTTAAAAATACAATCAGTCAATAAAAATAAAATAGTCTCTCAAAAAATCTATTCAAAGTGAAGACAATAATTAGCTATGCATTATAATTGCAAGCATCACTTATGTCTCCTATTTAGGCCAAATATCACAAACACCACTCTCATTATGCAAAAATTCTTAGGGCAAAAGCTTGCTGAACTTCATTAGTGTGCAGGAAATAAGAGTAAGAGCTTTCCAAGAATAGTACATTTTTAAAAAGATAAAGAACAAACGACAATATGACTATGCACCTACTTCACATATTTATGAAAACTTGTACAGCACAATTGTCCTCTTAATCAAAGAACCCTGAGGACTGTCATTCAAACTATCTCTACGAAGAGAGATATAGGGAGCATGTGAAAGGAATGATGGAGAATGTGAGAGAAATGGGAATTAAAAGAAGGTTGGGTGAGCTTCTGAATCCATTGTTGTTGAATTCGACAAATCCAGGTGGGTTGCTGCCTATGGTAGAGGTGATCCAGTCCTGGTACTGAGAGATTCTGGCGTACACACCGGGATATCTGGGGTCAGCACATCCGATACCAAAACTCACAACGCCGGACTGAATCCACAGGGAGCCGTTCCTAGTAACCAATGGACCTCCAGAGTCTCCCTGTTTTGATTAACACAAGATTAATATATATCACATTTATGTATCTGGATATATACAGTGAACAACTGTTAAAACTGACTATTAAAATCCGCGCAGAACCAATCATCAACTGGTCAAGATGCATGCCAGTTGGAAATATGTCCCAAGGTCATCTGACTTGCTCTGATGTCATGCTGACGCATTTCAAAAAGTCATGCGTGAAAAAAATTACATTATCATGGCCACGAATTAAAGTCCCCATGAAAACAAAATTAAAGTTTGTTGGGTGTTAGTATCAATATGTTAGTCTTAAGCAGTGGTGGAAAGAGTACTGAAAAAATATACTCAAGTAAAAGTATTTGTTTTCTCCTGCACTGTAAATATTTTAGCACCTTCCAATAAAATTTTGCATCAACTTTTTGTACAGCATGTCATTTCCTTTTTCCACTCCAACTGGTTGGCCTCCCTACACTGATCATACAATTTGTAAGGAAAAATGCATTTTAAATCGCTAAGTATTTCTGGGAAACTTTTTCAAAGGAAAACACACACACACGCGCATGTTTCTTTGCTGAGCCATGGCGGTCTCGGTGAATCAGCAGCATCCACAACTGAACGGAACAAAAAGTGTAAACAACTTGAAAATTGTTTATGCGCGAGTGCACTTGCTAAATGAAGGCGGATTGTATAAAATGGATTAAAAAAATGTAAATTAAAAAAAATAAAGTTTATTAACGAGCTGCAGTTTTATTACATCACACGCTGGCACAGATGCAGTATATTAATGCCACAGGTCAGGGGCGTAGATTACACGGGGGACGTGTCCCCCCACTTTTAATATCACGTAAATTCGTGACCCGCACTTTTTCGGGCAAGTGTGTTCGCATAGAGGTTTTCAAGAGCCCATGTGAATAAATATAGATTTAAATTCAAAGAGACAGGATAGTCTGTGCATGATCTGATGTTTTATACGGACCCAGAATAAGGCGAGATGAACATCACGGAGCGTTAAATACTCATGCAGTGTATGTTTCCTTCATACTCGAAGCCGGAGGCCGCTCTCGCGCAGAAAGTCGTACGAGGAAATTCCTAATATGGACAAAAGCGTCCAGCTATCGCTGTATGAAAACAGTTGTTTTCACAGAAAAACAGAAACGTTTGGAAACATGAAGACATTAAACATACGATTGCGACAATATGGTTTATTTGTGTTTGTCAAGTCATCTCCAGGTAATAAATAAAGTATATGAACAATTTAAAGAAGTCTCTTCTGTTCACCAAGCCTGCATTTATTTGATCCAAAGTACAGCAAAACAGTAACATTTTGAAATATTTTTTACTAGGCTATTTAAAATAACTGTTTTCTATTTGAATATATTTTAAAATGTAATTTATTGTGATTTTAAAGCTGAATATTTAGCATAATTACTCCAGTCACACGATCCTTCAGAAATTATTCTGATTTGCTGCTCAAAAAACATGTATTATTATTATGATGTTTAAAACAGTTGAGTAGATTTTTTTCAGGTTTCGTTGATGAATAGAAAGTCCAGAAGAACCGCATTGATCTGAAATATAAATCTTTTGTAACATTATAAATGTCTTTATTATCACTTTTGATCAATTTAAAGCATCCTTGCTAAATAAAAGCGTTGATTTCTATAATTTATTTT